AGATGGAAAAAAAACCAATGCCACTGTAAACTGCAAGCCTTAGTCTCTTCTTCTTCCTACAGGTTAAAATGAAGAGCAACCAGAACGATGTTGAAGAAGAGAAAAAAAGACGTCAAGGTCTCTAAAGATTGATTTAGACAATTACATTTAAATTGCATTCCACAGCAGGCAAGTTCCACACTTTCCTCCAAAAAGGGTAAAGAAATGTCAGTCTCAGGAAGCAGAGCATGTTTCTCTGGATGGTCGGATCTCCAGACCATATGCTGCACTTGATCTGAAAGACAAATCTCTTTTAGAGTCGATCAAGGGGAAAGCACACAAAAATAATTTGTCCATTTACAGACACTCAACTAAAGTAATTATATACAGAAAGTAATTCTCATCATTAAAGATGAAAATATCTTGGAACTGACTGTGTTCTGTTCAAATTCAATTCTAAGAAGCAATAATATACTGCCTGAAATAATTAAATTGGACATGAGGGCATACAGGACTGAGAATGTGACTCACACTGTCTTACATAGCATAGTAACAGATATGTACAGATGTTCAAAAAAAAAATCAGTGGAAAAAAAACCATAAAACATGATAAAAAGAAAGATTTTTTTTTGTGGAAATGAAATCAGAATAATGGAGCAATGAAGACACTATGAAGTGAATGGCCCACTATGCACTACCTAGTGTCCAGCAGGTCACTTGCAGGAATTCGAAGTGTTGGGCCAGCTCTTCATTACCTTTCCCAGACTCCCCAAAGACAAGGAGTCATGCTAGAGAGTACAAAGTCACTAGTGAACAAAAAGCAGTAGAAATACACTTCAGAAATGGAAATCACACTGCTCATAAGAGAAAACTGGTATTTCTAAGTGTCTGAATTTCAGAATGCACACGTGACACTACCAGAGGGTTGAGGTAGGTGATCCTCCTTTATTCAGCCACACTTCGAGACCTGTGTCCAGTGCTGGGTTCTTCACTACAAGAAAGACAAGAACATACTGCAGAGAGTCCAGACAAAGGCCATGAAGATAATGATGGGACTAGAAAACATCTCCCACAAAGAATGTTTGACAGAGCTGTGACTGCCCAGCTCTGGAGAACAGAAGGCTCAAGGGGACCTTATCAATGTAAAGCACCCAAAGGCAGGGTGCAAAAAGATTAAAGCCTTTTTATGCTCACTTGGTTACAATTCAGAGCTCCCTCTGGCTCTGAGCAAAACACATGGGAGATTTGCCAGAGTGGAATGGGAGCGAGTTCAGTGCCTTTACACAGCCTCCCTGTGTGTCCCTCCACCCTGGTGTTATGTAAGAAACTGAGCTAAACTGTAAATATTACACAACCTCAAAAAGGGAAGAGACTAGTAAAATATGTCCACAACTCCTTCAAGCTGACTAACTCCCTCCTTTCTACTTAAGGTTATACATTATTTAGGAGTATAAAGATATGTCTGCAATGGTCATTTTTTGTCTCTTAAGCATGTTCTAGGCCCAGTGAGACATTTCACCAGTGTGAATAGAACATCACATAGGGCCTGCAGACAGACTTTTTAGTATGACCTGTTGCAATAAGACATAGGGTAATGATTTTAAGCTGAAAGAGGGTAGATTTAGACTAGAGATAAGGAAGAAATGTTTTACAATGAGGATGGTGACACACTGTATTGTAAATGCAAGGCACCCCCAACAAAGGGGAGAAAGAACGTATCTGATTTCATTTTATTAAAGGTTAATTTATTACTTTATTATACTATATTATATTAAAGAATACTATACTATATTATACTAAAGAATACAGAAAGGATACTTACTGAATGCTAAAAAGATAATAATGAAAATTCATGACTCTGGAAGGAGTCCCGACACAGTTTGGCCCTAACTGGCCAATCAGTTAACTCACAATGGAGTCTAATCAAGCAATCACCTTTGGGCAAACAATCTCCAAACACATTCCACATGAGCACAACACAGGAGAAACAAATGAGATAAGAATTGGTTTTCTTTTCTCTGAGGCTCTCTCACTGTGTTTCACCTTTCTCAGGAGAAAAACCCTGGGCGAAGAAATCATATTCTGAGAATGTGAATGCCACAACACCAGAACAGGTTGCTCAGAGATCTGGCAGATGCCTGCTCCTGGAAACATTCAACATCCCTGAGTTGGATGGGGTTCTGAGCAACCTGATCTAGCTGAAGATGTCCCTGACTACTGCAGTGGGGGGGTTGGACTAGGTGGCCTTTGGAGGTCCTTTCCAACCAAAGTATTCTATGACTCTAAGCAGGACAGCAGTGCCAGCAAGAAGACTGCAGTCCTCCCCTATAGCTCTGCTGCAGTCATTGCTGAACTCATTGCTGCAGTGCACTTCCAGTATTGAAGCCACACACACATTTCATTAATTTCTTACTTCGGATCTAAGCCACTTGTCCCATCACCAACCTAGAAAAATAACCCAGGGATTATGATCATTCCACAAACGAAGCAGCACTAGTGTTCCAGCTTGCTTGGGAACTACAAGTAGGTCAGATGGGAGTGGAAAAACAAGTTAAGCTTTTGCCTACACATTCTACAAGCATTGTCCTATGGCTAGCATCATATTAAATAACAAAAAAGCCTTCTTAGCAGGACATCAGCCCACACCATATTCTCTGATCTAGAAGGACATGTGGAGATGTGTCCCTTGCACAGGCTTGGTGAAAAGATTGCCATAGATCTAGACACTTAGAATCCTCATTGTGCTGTGAAACTCATTTACCTAATGACAGCCTTTCTCCAGTACAGTTAATGTTGTAGCAAAATACGCTTGCAGCAACTCAGTTATAACTTCATATCTTGCAATAGAATATATATGTGATCTTGAAGGATATGCTGTTATGCTGAAGGATACCACCACACTTAAAAGTGTAAAACATTGAGCATGAACAGAAATTTCCTGGTCTAGTATTACTTACTTAAAATACAATGCATTGTGCATGAGTGGAAATTGCTAACTTTAATGTTAGATATTTAATACATGTTTGTAAAACTTACACAAACTGTAATTTATCAACTACAATTGCACATTGAAAATATACTGCACATTATCACTTATTTATGTTCACTAAGAAAATTCAAATTCACAACAAGAGATTTTCCATAGCTCCTTGCTCTAGAAGTTCATCTGCAAAAATAATTTTACATAAAATGCACTGTCATACTATGCCATTTTAAATACTGGATGAAATTCTCAATTCATGCAAAAAATCTGACATCCAATTCAACTTCATCTTACAACCTCACCCAGTAGGTCTGTCTCAGAAGTCTCTTCTCTGACAAAAACTCTCATCTGAACCAAGCAAAATCTTTTTTGATTACATTATTTCTAAAAATTAAAACCACAAAATCCATTGTTTTAGCACCATCCTAATGCAAGAGACTAATTCTTTATAATAAGAGTTCTGGTTTCCAAACTGAGCATTTACTAATAATGATCAAATTATTACCATCACATTAATTTTGACTGAAATGGACAGTGAGAAATTACGAACATAATGTTTTAAGATGAATATTTAAATAAGATGTGCCCACTGGTACAGACCAGCTCTATAGCTATACTAGGGCAAAAGGAGTGGAAAGAGCTACCCAAGACTTAAAATAGTTCTTGAAATTTATGGTCTGAATACTAATGTAATAAAAAATGTAAATAACTTCTGACTAAATAATTATGCATAAATTCATATATGCATGTAATTTTTCAGCATTCCATATCAAGTTATCTTTGTGCACTATACAGAGGACAGTCTTAAAAGTACTACTTCCATTAACACATTATATGTAAATAATGTGTTATAAATAACACATAACAGATTTCTCTGGTTTGCACTGGTAAAGTGAATAACCATGAAAACTTTGCAAAAGTGCAATGAATGCTTCACCAAGCTATAGAGAGGCAGCTTCCCTTAAGCGAGATTCGTTCCTGGATTTACAGCACAAAATTGATTTTGGATGGAATTTAGTGTCGGCTCCCCTGTGACAACTAGCTCCGTATACATATAAGTGAATTAAAAAAACAAAATAAAACACCCCACAAACCCAAAGAACTGGACCTGGCTATGCCCTCAGAATATTGGCTAGCATAAAAACATCTCAATTTCTCCACTGCTCTAGTTCAGTAGGAATAAAGTATCAGTTACCAGTCCAAAGAAAGCAATCACACATGAACATTTATCTCCACAGTCTTCTTAAAGAAGAATGTCCAATGCAGGCAATCCAAAAGCATTTACTCCCATTGGAAGAAAAAGGCTGCCACTAATATTCAACCTCATACTCTGCTTTTGTAACCATATAGCCAGCCAGTACAGTGATTTTTTTAGCAGAATCTACCAGGTCTCTGCACTACATACTCCCAGAGAACACAACTGCATATTGTTCCAGTCTGTCTCTAGAGGTTTCAGTTCCCACTCTAGAACAACTTAAGTAGCAATCCTAACATTGTAACATCTCACCGGAATATCATGTCAAGTCATCAATATATCTCTTCATATAAAAATAAAGCAGAAGACAATTTTAGAAACTTTTTCTTTTCTAACTTGATTTTTTCTAACTTTGAAAAAGGCAGTCACAGAAATGTGTTCTCATTGAAAAAGAGAGGTGGCAAAAGTTCATTACAATTTGTGCCCCTTCTGCATTAAGGTCTAGAAATATGGCTGAAACTTCTTTTTTATAAAACAATTTCCATAATCACATGGATTTTATTGACTTATTTACGGATTTTTAAATGGATTTATTATTATTGGTTTTCACTTATGGAAGACTTTGAAGAAAATTCCCATTATCTTTTTCTCAACAGTGGAGAAAATTAAATATGTATTAAATACTGTCACACATAATAATCATGCCATTTCATATTCACTGGTACCCTCATAAATGAAAGATGAGCTCTGCTGGAGAGAATTGTCACCTTGAGAGAAACAAAGACCATTTGCTTACCAAATATAAATAAAAGAGAAAGTACAAAAAAGAACACTATTTCTTACCATTGTAAGAGTGAATGGATGGCTTTCCAGGGCAGACACTCTTGGACAGTGAAGAATAACATACTGAAAGGAAATGGTAGAAAGGATACATTCAAAACATTCAGTGATGGGCTAGTTCTCACAAAGTGATAGTCATCCCTACAGATAATGTTACATGAAAGCAAAGTGGTTTTTTAGGGCCACATTAACTCACCTGACCAGGCCTTGCTTCAAAATCATCTTTCACCATCCTGACTTCAAGGACGTTGGAGGGGTGGCTTATTACTGAGGTGATTGTGACTGGCTTGTTGCTGCGGATGTAGCGGTACAGCCGCTCCACACAGTACAGGCACAGAGGTCCGGAAATCCAGAACCAGGTCTAAGGGAGAACGAAAATAGGTTACCTCAAAGACTTAACTTTCTATCTTCTATTTTCACAACTACACGAGCGCTTTCAGGATCTCACTTCACATCTAACATCCACGCCTCTGTCTACATGCAGAAACCCAAAAATGTTCTGAAGCCTTAATCAGTCTAATCAGCAGCATCACCCACAAGCACCAGAAATTTTAATCATAAAAATCATCAGGAAAAAATGCTAATGGCCTCATTTGCCACCACGTTATTCTGGTTTGATGTGGTTAGATTGCAGCTGGTTTCAGCAATGAAAGAAACAGTACCTACACAGACTAGAGTACTATACAATTGGTTAACATATCTGGAAAAATGCTGTCTGACTTCCAGTATTATTTAACTATTACCTTCTTATAGTCATCTCAGGTTCAAGTAAAAACTTAAGACAGCTGCATTCTTGTGCTATAGATATTATGTTGATATTAAAATAGTGTAAAACCATAGACAACAGAGAGAAATGGGCACTTATGAATCACAACCCATTTGCTCCCATGGAAGATGTGTATGCTAGACAGAAAATGCCCTGGAAATACCCATTTCTCTGCACTGATTATATGGGGAGTCCTGGGTGACTGCTCCAGATGGAGACATTTGCAGCTGCTCAGCTAAACCCCATCCTAAGAGTCAATTACCAATAGCTTATGGCAGACTTATCTACTAATTCCACATCTGCTCAGTCATTCAAGCTGTGCCACTGAAGTGCCCCTCAACCCTCATCTATCTTCCCTCCCTTCCCAATTTCTGACATTACACATCAACATCTCTTGCAACTAGCAGAGCATTTATTTTCAATAAAAAAGCCTTACAAGTTTCAGTAGCTCACAGTTTTAGGTTTTTTTTCAACTTGGTATCACAATATTTCCAAATCCAAAAAAGTCCTAAATAGAGTTTCAAAGCTGCCAGGAGAACACTGAGTGGCCATTTCTTTCCATGACTCCTTTCCCATGAATGTCTCTAAAGCAGGCATCTTAAGCCCCTAAGAAGACTCCTTGCTGCCCTGTGGGTCATATGGAGCCAGATATACACTGATGCTTATAATTCACGTGTATTACCACAACAAAATACCAATCCAAAGAGCTTTGGTGGAGAAATTCAATGTAGAATTAACTGTTTCTCAGTAGGATTACATACTCCATAGAAAAATGGGTTCCCAGTGCATCTAGTAAGGGGGACACATGTTCAACAGAAAACAACAAGGATAATAAGAAAGAGAAACTCCTGTGGGGTCTGTTATGGGACCATTTTGAATGGTGAGCCTTGGACTCATGAACTCCGTATTTGCAAGCTTCCTCAGTCTACTTGCCAATAAAACCCAGCTCAGCTTCTCAAAAGAAAAGAAAAGATTTTGGATAAAGAAAAAGCTGCTGCCACAAAACATAAAGAAACAAAAGGAAAATGGAAAACGGAAAAAGAAAAGGCTTTTTGTCCCCACTCTCATCATACTTATTTACCCATGCCACATATAAAACAAGCCTGTCTGCAAATAACAGACTATAAAAGCCAAACCACAACCAACTGCAACCCAGAAATGAGTATTAGGACTTGCATCCGCATGGTAAAAAAGAGAACAAATGGAGCTTGATTATTTCAATTAACTACTGCCACACAATGCTTACAAAAGGACCTTAAGAAATGTTACATAAATGTTTGCTCTGAAATGCTATGCTGTAAAATCACATTTTTAGCAGGATCAATACATCCCTTATGGTGTTGTTTAAAAAAGAACATTACAGCCAATCTCTTGACATTTTTCCACCCTCCCTGTTCCATGCACCACATTGTAATGCACTTCAGGGTTAAACACAGATTGTTTTTTCCCCACCAAATCTTTGAATGCCTCAAAAGGTTTTAATAATATTTTCCAGTATTAAAACATCTGGTCTGGAAAAGCAATAATTAGTGGTTATGGCTGACTGAAAGGCTTGGCATGGCTTTTAATACCTGAAATGTCGGATCATACAGACCTCTGGGAAGTGCGACTGGAACTTGGGTTCCTCGGAACAAATTCTCATAAAGCTATTTTGTACAAAGGGTTCTGGTACTGGTAGATCCTCTGGGAAAGGCTCAGCAGTATAGTCAGGAAACAGCTCTTCAAAAGCCTTTGGCACAGTCAGATTCTGTCGGAGCGTTTTGTTAGGATTAAAGCAACCAGGAGGGTGTTCCTCTAAGTTGGTCTGGTACTTGAGCACTCCCCTACAGGAAAACAAAAAAATAGTAAAGACACTGAAGTAACAGTAAACAACAAACAACTTATCTTCATTCAGAGGGGACTTCAGAAAGCAGTCACAAGCCTCATCTTCTGTTAGAAATTTTATTCTGTTTGCCTTCAGGACTTTCAATGAGATTGAAACTTTGCAACAATAGAGCCTTCTGTCACTTGAGTCAAGGTTTAACTTTTCCAGCTTACTTGGCACTCCCCCACTGAACAGCCTCAAGCTTAATACTGCTTGAAATGGAGAAAATATTGTGGGGGCCTTGAAAAAAAAAATTAAATAATCACATTTCCAATTCAATCACACACAGGCTGTTTTCACTCATCCTTCCTACAGTCAGCAAGCCCTGTTTTTAAGGCAGTCTTGTAGCAGAAGTGGCCTAAGTTGCCAAATCATAAACTGCAGGAATGTTCCCTCTACTTGGTGTTTATCACGTTTGCATACAAATAGAAGGAAAAAAGAAAGTCTTCCATGGTAGCCAAGGAACCTGCCGTGCAAATTATTTTATGAGGTCCATCCTTATTTTATTTTTCCTCAAGCTAAGTTAAATTTACAGTAAAATGAAGTGAGAACTTTGAAGTTGCAGTTGGAAACTCTGAAGAAAGAAGTGGAAACCTCAGACACTGGGATATCTCAGCACATGAACAAATCACTGAAAGCAGGGATGAACAGATAATAGGTGTAATAAAATTCCTCAGAAGTACTACTTGTGTCCAAGTCTAGACTGATGACAGTAAAACCACAAGGAAGAATATTAAAAAAATAAAAAATGCTGAATGACACCAGTAGAGGATGGTGCTGAGTGGGAAATGAGGCATACTGAGACAATGCCCCCTGACTGCTAAGCCTTGTTATGAAGGCTCAGATCAAGCATACAACCAAACATAAGGACAGGTGCTCCCCCCTCTTCTCCTCAATATACACACAGCAGCAGCAGCAGCAAGAGGGTTTAACTCAGAAGAAAGAGAACTAGGACATCTGCAATATTCCAAACCTAAATGGGCTCTGACAGGCTACTGGCAATCTTCCCTACAAAAATGCAGTCCTGACAGCTAGTAACAAGCTTCCTGCATGGTCTAGTGAATCATGTCAGCTTGGAAGTTAAGCCTGCTCACTCTTAAATTCCATTTGACCCTGGGAGAATCATCTGGGAAGTGTCCTTGCACCTACACCCATGCTTCTGCCTGCATTTATTGCTCAATCATGCCTATCACTTGCATCTGGCATCACTGCTGGTCACCACATATTGGCAAAGTGACAGATACCCCTAGCATCATGCTAGCTCCCTGCTCCATAAATATTATGGTGCCTCATGGATTTACTTAGAAGTCAAAGCCCATGCAGTATTTTTCCAGTGAACCTTGCGTGCATGCCTGCCAGCAACTCCCACAGCTTCTCTCTTCTCAGCACATCCCCGAAGAGGATTGCCTTGAGAGTAGCTGCAAACATGAGCGCACCCTCCAGTGATCTCTAGTTTATTTAACCTATTATAAACACGCTAACTGAGAGGCAAACAGGGATCACAAAGCTGCCTGTTAACAGCAGCTCAATAACTCCCAATTCTGAAGCTGCCAAGGAAAAATAAGTCTTACACACCCAACATCAGTGCTCAGAAAGGTTGAGTTCTGCACTGAACTGTTCTGAACAAACAAACCACTAACATATGACAGATGAATCACATCACTTTATATATTGCTGAGAAGTGGTTGGCTGCCTGAAGGATACTGTAGGAAGATACCTACAACAGCTTGAAACAAAACAAGAATCCAGCAATACTGTGAAAATACTTTACTCCTAAGAGGTAAAACCTCAGTCAACCTGCCTGTGCAGCTCAGCCATGGGAAATGCCTTGCTCTGTACAGTAAGTGGCTATGCATTTGCAAATCTCCAAGACATCCCACATAGGAGTAATTTGGGCACCTAAGCATGGATATCTAAGCTTCCTTTATTCTCAAAAGAGATTATAGAATTGTTTAGGTTGGAAAAGACCTCTAAGATCAAAAGTCCGACCATTTACCCAGCACTACCATGTTCACCACTAAATCATGTCCCTAAGCACTGCATTTACACATCTCTTAAATACTCCCAGGGATGGTGACTTTATTGCTTCCCTGGACAGTTTGTTCCAGTGCCTGATAACTCTCTGGTGAAGAAATTTTTCCTAATGTCAAATCTAAATCACCCCTCATGCAACTTTTGGCCACATGCTATTGATCTTCTCAATATCACTAATGGAGCCAGGAATCAGTCCAGCTCACCTGAATGTAGATCTCTGAAACAGCAAATTACATGAAGCATTCTTCAGGCTCCATTGGCTGTATTTATCAGAACTCATTAGACTATAATAGGAAAGACACTGAGAAAACATGTAGAGACCCACATTTAGGCATCTTAAAGTTGAACTGACTCCCACTCTCCATGACTCATTCCTCTCCCACTTCTGACACTCAGTTCTTTCAGATTTGCACTGAATACCTTTGTAATTCAGTACTAGGGAGGCTGTGTACCACAATATGCCTGTTCAATGCTTGCTGTATTACTGCAGCCTTGGTCTGCAAACGTGGTAAATGGAACATGGTTAGGAAAACAATGGGCAAAGGATAACACCATGAAGGAGATTAATTAAACTGGACATGAAAAATACCCCTAAGGCAATCACTGGAACAGACTGCCTAGGGAGGTTAGAGGATCTCAGTCACCAGACGTTTTAAAGAATTTGACAAACACCTGTCAAGAATAATTTCAAAAAAATTCATCCTTTCTTAGGATGGGGAGAACAGGTTAGATCCATCTTCCCCAGCTATAAACAAGTGCTATGCCATTAAAAAAAAAAAAAAAAAAAAAAAAAAACAAAAAAAAAAAAAAAAACAAAAAAAAAAAAAAAAAAAAAAAAAAAAAAAAAAAAAAAAAAAAAAAAAAAAAACCAAAAACAAACAATAACCAAAAAAACCCCAAACAACTAACTGAGAACTGGAATTACTTCCAGAAGTTTCAATTGTTTTAAACTCATTATTTCTTTAACAGCATATTTTGTTCAACAACATATTCCTTCCATGATCTTGCTAGGCCTAATTGCCTTTCCAAGTTTACTTTAAGCAGAAGGGCTCACTGTCACACACTCAAGCACCCTGCGTTTCAGTAGATATTTGATAACATGGAGAAATAAACATCATTCAAATACACGTTCCCTTCTCTACACTCTGCCTCTACATCCACAAAGGAAACTTCAGAGATGTTAATGGAACAGATTTTCACAGAATCATAGAATAGTTTGAGTTGGAAGGAACCTTTAAAGGTCACCTAGTACAACCCCCAACCCACGCAGACATATGTCATAACTTCTGGAAGATGCTTTACCTTGCAACACAGCTCAGTTAGTTTGTGCCCAGTACAGATCTGACCATCAGCTTCATAGCACATAAACACTGGTCTGATGTTTATGAAAAGAAGAAGTAGGAAATTTTGTAAGCAAAGAGGAAGTAATTACAGAGATGCCATTCCTTCCCTCTCCTTTGCAGTCAAAAAGGAAGGCAAAAAGGAAAATGCAAGGGATAAGCAACTTTCCTTCATATTCTTGTCTCAGCAAACAGGTAAGAGGGGGCAGAAAAAGAAACTATGTTTTCTTGATTTCTCAGTAGACACTGAGCAATAGAAATGGAAAAGGAATAATCTTGAAAGTGAAGAAGTTTGTGCTAGTTGGGTATAGCACACACTAATCTCCCAGCTACAGCCTGATCTTTATTTGAACACACACCAGAGGACTATGTCTTGTCCCAAAGTTGGCCCACTGTGCTCAAGCAAGCTCAGGAAAGGCAGCAATCAAGGAAACTGCTCTTTCTGGTTGTGCTTCAGGAAAAGGAAGAGTATTTTCATTTACTTACCCAGAAACATGCAGCATCAGCAGCATATAGAAGACAAAGAAAAGGTTGTGTGTGTACCAGAAGATGTCATAGTTTGAAACCCTGAAAAGAATAAATCATGGTTCAATGCTGTTTCAACTCAGATGGAATCACTGCTAATTAAAAGCAGACCTGTGCACACAGGACATCATTATACACTACACAGTTATGCAAAATAGTCAAAGCCCAGAATGTCTTCCCACAGGCACACTGTACTTGCACACAATTAAGTGTTGAGAAAAACAAGTGACTGGCACAGAAGTAACAAGCTGAGAAGGAGAGGTAAGGGTGTAGAAGTACAGAGCCAGATGGAGAACTCTTCTGAAACTGGAAGACTTGCCTGCTTTCACAGATCCTAGTTAGTCTTCACGAGATCCTTACAACTGGAATAGTTCTTCCACCTCCAGTCGCAAAACTCAACCTCCTTACAGTGAGTGTCACCTTGCATTCTTTCTGCCCCAGCAGAATTTAACGTGTCACTAAGGCTGCAGCACACAAACAGGCAGCATGGATAGCAGCAGAAGGGTCAGTGGGGAGGGTAAAAACCTTGTGAGGTTATGAAGTGGAAGAAGGTGCAGGAAGAATAGGACCTAGAGCAAGGAGACAACAAGAGCACAGTAGGAGAATTTCCAGGGCAGGAAGCCACATACACTACTGCTCCAGGACTGATGGTCTTGGGAGGAACAAGAAGAACATTATCACTGTGAGATCAGGAGAGGTGAAGGTGACTTCCTTTTATCAGCAGTTTGTTAGGCATTATAAAAAGAACCCAGACCAAAGAAAATACTCATCTGGAACTGTTTTCTGTTAAGCTTGTCTGGGGTTTTTTTGAGTAAAATAGTTACCAAGAAACAACAATCAAATGGCTAAGAAAATACACTCCTTCACAGCACACAAACACACCTCTCACACTACACAGCACGGTAGGAGAGTCCATTCTAAAACCAAAGAACCTACCCCCATTCATAAACTGAAACAATTATTAAATAAAAAATATCTTTAGTTCTGAGAACATGGTTTAAGAAGCTATTCCTCTGACACAGCTAACTTCTTTTTTTTCCAGAGCTTTTTCCCTCCTATGGTCTTCTACACAACCAGATAACTGCTCTTCCCTCAATACAACTGAAACACGTACTGCATTTGTTTCTGTTATTACAGGATTATTTGTTTTCTTCCTCAAGAGAGGAAAAATAACTTTGATATCCACAGGCTACCAAAATAAAATCCAAGCCAGCAAAATAACAAGAAAGGAAGCAAAGGAGGAAAAGAGGAACCAAATGAAGGAATACAGCAACAGCAAGGGGCTCTGAAATCCCCCTCCACCCTGCCATTCTTCTCCCAGTCAGCACTGTGTTAACACTTTTTCCCACTTGAAGTTGCTTAAGCCTTTTCTAACTCCCCACACCCTAGGAGTAATTTTCTTGCAGTCACTCATCAGTATCTGTGAGGAGTTGTGGGTGTAATTATCAGTAAGAAGAAAATAAGAACAATGGTGTGCAGAGTGGAAGCACAACTGGAAGGTACAAAGAGAGTAAAACAGACCCTCTGTCTCAAAACAAGTCACAGAATCCTAGAATGGGACCGTAAAGGTGGCCTAGGCTAAACGCCCATACCATGAGAAGGGACAAGAACAGGTCTTGGAGCTCTGGTTTAATTTGGTTCCATGCTATAATACCAAAAGCTGCACACTGAATGTTTTATTGGATCTTGAGCATCTTTTTCGGAATGCATCAATTTTTCAAAATTTCAGTGATGAAAAGTCAATCCCTGGACTGCTTCTGACATGTTGCTTTCAACAGCTAATTATTGCTACTGATTAAAATTACTGTACACTTCTTTCCTGAATGCATCTAAATGTCAGCTTCCAGCTCGTTGAGCACTTTATTCTTCTTTCAGCACTCCTACAGATATCTCTACTATAAAATCCTGGTTCCTCACATGTATCAAGTTGCCCTAAATGTGAGCAGGCTCTCTGAACTTCACCTCCTTAAATTATATGGGTATGTAAATCCTTGAACCTCCTACCATGAAGCGTATTTTCCAACACTGTAATAATTATGTATTTCTTACTTGTAGCCTCAAACTACAGATACATACATTAGTATTCTAATATAGTCAATAATCTTCCTATAGATACACATAAATTTTTACAGCTCTTCAGAATATTCACTTTTTTTACCTTCTTAGGGCTTAAAATAGACATTATTCACAGAATGAATGCATTTCTTAGGAATGCAAAGTCCTGAAAATTTGAGGTAAGTTGAATATTTAATTTTGGTTAACCTACTTTAGAATTTTGCAGATGAAGACCTGAAAGAGTTAGTTTACTGACAAATGAAGAGGAATTTATCATGCTTTAAAGGGACACACTAAGCAGCACGGTTCTAGAAAAATATTTTTAATCCTGTTACAGACAGTTTTGAAAAGGAAGATATATGAGGTAGTTTAGAAGATTAAGCTGAAGACTAGAATATTTGGTTACAAAAATAGATGGCACTGCAGCACCTTATTTTTAATGTTATTTTAAATACACAACTTCCAAATCTCAAATATCATTAATTTTAAAGTTGTCAGAAATGTCAACATTTATTGACAGGATTTATTGTGTTTTCTGCTAACTTCATAACCCTACTGAAAACAACTACTGAACAAAAAATGTTGGTCTAATTCTCAGGTATACCATGGCAAAAATTTAGAAAATTTTTCAACTAATAATCACTTTATCCTCTTAAAACATGAGCAGCTAATTCAGTCCTTCTAATACTTATTTTCACAGTTTACTGAAAAGGCAGGAAAATAGAGGCATACTCAGGCATAGAACAATTTCAGGAAGAACATACAAAGGAAGAAATCACTAAGCAGGTCAGTGTGCAGGAGCAGACTAGGGCTGAAATCCAAGACTATAACAACCTCTGAAATGCTTCTTAAAAAGCTCAGTTTCTGATAGACAGTGAACATTTACAATTAACTTTCCTAAAACTGTACTGTATGCTCAGCCATCATAAGGCACACAAGAATCCACAGGGAAAGAGATTGAAAAGGGACATAGAAATGCATGCAGCAACTTGTTTCCTTAGGAGAAAACACTATAATAAAGACAAGCTTGAGCTCTATGCCTGAGGAGAGAAGCCAGGATAAAATTTCCAAGTAAGAATTACTGCTAGGGTAACAGGAGATGCAGATTATCTCTTTTGGGGCTTTGATTCTGCTGGCTAGATGGCAGAAAGCTGGGAAAGTATTTGTACTTACAGTAACTGCGGAAGGAACTAAAAAGCATATAACTTCAAAAGTTGTTGCAATTATTTCCAAGAATGCTTACAACTACATATATTTTTCTAAGTTTCCCAATCACTAATACATTATGTTTTTCTAATTTAATTTGGCCTTGAAGAAGACAGGACTTTATTCTGGCTCAGTGTTGCAGAATAAAGTAATAGTTTTATTTTTCCATCTTCCCAAAACTGTCTTTCTTTTGCAAGCAGAGCCATCTGTGTGCACCATGTAATGTGCAGCCATGTTATACCCGGTGCAGCAGCCTAATCCTGCATGTCTGTAGCCTGCAGTGCCTCACAAAAGTCTGAGCCCTGGAAGAAGACTTGTCTTCTGAAAATGCACAAGTATTTGATGAACTACTTTCTCAAATCACAGGATAACACTGCCAGGTAACGCAGCTACTCAGGAAAGACAGATTAGTTCAACAAAGTTCATAATCACATATCTAACTCACATCAGTGGAGCACCATTAATGTTTGAAAATACATAATTAATATATCCTTCCATGTTTGCTGAACCGAGGCGATGCACTTACATAGTGCACTCAACCTCTGTAAAAATGAAGGGGCTATTTTTATATGTTCAGTTGCAGAATTCAAGCTTTAAAAAGACTACAACATTGGGCTGGACCTCCCCAGGTACCAGTCACTCACAGGTACTATCATATGTGCTCATTAATGCTGGTGCAGAATGTCAACCCACCAGAGGACCAAACTCCTAGAAAACACAGCAGCTGCTCTGAGGCAATACTTCATTGCTGCTTGGCATATTATAATTTACATTAAAAAGAATGAATCTGACAACCAGAAGCAGAGCTCTTAAAACAATGTTCTACTTCAGTAGCATAGTTTTGTTCAGTTTCTTTCATTGCTGATAGTTTGGGGTTGGGGTTTTGTTGGTTTTTTTTTTTGTTTTGTTTTGGTTTTTGTTTGGGTTGGGTTTTTTGTTACTTTTTTTTTTTTACAATTTATTATTACAATTAAATTAATTGGTGAAAATAATTAAGATAGCAATAACATCTTATTTTTCTTCCACTGGACTTAATTTATGCACCGCACAGAACATCCCATTTGCTGAGTTTACTGCCTCCCCTACAACCAGGAATAAAAGAACTATTTAAATTTTAAAAGTCCACATTTTTAACTCAGCATACTCATTAAATAGTACTTTTTCAGAAGTCAGTTCAATCAGGTTTTGTAATTGTTTTCATACAAAATTCACTGTGCTAATTTTACTGCAAGCTAGGAAAAAAAAAAAAAAACGGACAAGAAAACTGGTATCTTTAACACTCTAGTCAGTAGGAGAATATGATTACAGAAATGGCATTTTTTTAGCATAACAATCATATTATATCTTACCTGATGGCATATGTGGAAGCTGTACACATTAGGAATAATACTAACACCATAATGACTCCAGTCAGACCTGGAACTAAAAGGGACATAACTGACATTTGAACTGCAAAGAGGTATACTTATCTACTATCAGCTTTTAAGAAAGTGGAATTAGACATACAAATCATGACTCAATCAAACCCTTGAATATACTTATCTCTTGAGAACAAATCATGTATCAAACCAGATAGGAAAGAAAGAGTTCCCAAAGATTTCCCACCTTCCCAAAGAAAAATACCCTTTTCCTGGCATTTCACCATGCATCACAATTTCCTATTTGTCTTTGCTCCTGTCATCTTTTGCTTGTGACATCTGTGTCTAAGCAGGTAACTAAGAACAAACACTGTTTACATGCAAGACTGACTGTACAAGCTTCTGTCTCTTTTTTATTCCAAACACTACACTCTGTTGATCATGACAATTAAAAACCTGTTCAGGGACAAAATTTCAAGCAAATCAATTTCTATGCAAGCTGTCACTACAATTTTTTGCCAGCCCATTTCATTCTGCAATGGGGAAGAGCCTGCAATTATTCTCCATGGCATTGTATCACGCCTGAAATTGTTGCCCATAGAGCAAGGTCTGTGAGAGTGATCTGCAGCCAGCACTTGGGAAGGAAAGGTTAAAAATATTAATTATCTGACTCATCTGCTCATATGAGACTTGTATCAGAATTAGTTTATCCTCAGGTCTTTTTTAAGTCAAAGGAGAGATAATCTCAAATCTTACCTTTTTATAAACTTCTCAATACCCATTCATTGAAAAGACTGATACCCAAAATCTGACACACCACAACTCACTCCTCAGTTTTTACAGACCTACAATCAATGGAAGCTTTGTCATGGACTGCATAAAAAAAAACTTTATTTCTCTCCTTCATGGAAAGATTGCAGTTAAAAGCAGCTACAATAAAAAAATATGCTTTCTGTCCACTACATCCTTCTTAATTTCTTTTTCCTCAGTCTGATTTGATGTGTAGCATGCAATGAATCTCAACTCTGAACTAATACCTCCAATGCAATTGCAGTACAGCACCTGATTTAGCTTCCTACACTGTCACACAAGCCAGAGGTCACCTTTTATGTCCAGTTTTTCAATTATCTTCTGCATCAGACTGAAATCACTCAGTCTTGCTCCAATTTATCGGTTCATTTTTAGTGTTTCCTTTCTGCCCTGTCCCTGACTCTCCTTTCCTCCACTATGTATAATCTTTAATACTTGTTCCTCCCACAGTCTGCCTCACACCCTTATACAAGGAGGTTCTTTCCTGGGCTAATCTGAAAAGCAATCATCACTCTATAAATCCTTCTGATTCCTTATTCCTTCTGTTTGCTGTTCTGAATTGTCTGGGAGGAAACCACGGGTTTTTTGCTTATTTGCACAGCTCCCAGTACAGCAAAGTCTTGAGCACTCCTTCAGCACAAATAATACATGTTAATTACCAGTTGTTAGGACAGGGACTGAGCAGAGTAATTTTAAATTTAAGATAACTCCGATCTCAGTTTCTGTCAGTTCACATTCTCTCTTCCCCTCCTCTCAACTGATCTAAACCTTTCCTAGGGTTTTTGGGAAACACTGGCACACCAGCCGCTAATTCCAACAGGCCTATTGGGACTGACAAACCTAGAACCACTGCTGTCTTTTCTTAAGATTTGATTTGACTGTGCCCTAAACGCTACCAAGTCAGGATTTTGTGTTTGATCCAAGTAAGGGAGAAAGTGCGATGGCATCAGGAAGGAACTTTATCTGCTTATGAAGCACTACAGCTCAGACTGGTGCCTGCCCCTCCACACCCAAACATTGCTCACTTCTAAATTCCTGCACCAAAGATGTCTTCATCTATTTACTCTGTATGAGTGCTGAAGCCTGAATCCCATGTAACAGTTTAGATTGCTCAGAAACCCAACCAACTCTAAAATAAACCGGCTGAAGCAAAAAGACTGGTTTTCCATTATATTTCTTTTTCTAGAAATTGGATCATTTAGGAATTTGGTTTCAATATTAGGGAGAATCTCTGTTTGAAACTAATGGATTTCTGCTGACTCATCTGTACAACAACAGATTTGAAAATTCTGCTCATCCTACTGCTGGGCTTATGTAACTCCTGCCTCCTGACTACTGGATAAGCAAAGATAGGTTATGTTAACACAAATCACACAACCCCAGATAGCTGAGATACAACAAATGAAGCATGCCAATACACGACCAAAAGAAGTTTTGCTTGCAGAGTGGCAAAGTTTTCTCAGTCAGTTTTGCAGGACTTACCAGTTGCAAAAAGTAGTTTCCTTGGGTCCTGAAAAACAGACAAGCCAAACCAAATAAAATCAACATATGGTATTTTATATCTATAACACAAATAATTTTACAATAATAAGTAGCCCATGAAGCTCACACATTTTAAGACATATGCTGTCCCTAAATCTGGAAGCAGGAATGGATTTGGTATTTGGTAACAGTTTACATTGACTGTAATTCAACAAAAACTAAACCTTTAGCCTTTGCACTCCCCCAGCAAAGATAATTCTGACCTATAATCTAGATTCAGATAATTTTACAGATAATTGATTTTTGAAAGCTAATTTTACTCAGTTACCTCATCCCTTTGGGAGGACAGAGGGGAGCAGAAGAGGGAGATGTTTTGAATTTAAATATAAGACAAGAGGCAAGCATTTTACTGCCAGCTACATCACCAAGACATTTTCAGTGGATGCTAGTGAAGCAATACTGAACACAAAGGATCTGACAGATGTTCCTGTGTCCTTCACCACATGTGAAAGAAACAGGGAATATTTCAACATCAGGGAAACTACCTCACTTCCCCTGATCCAAGCACTGAAGACAAAACCTCTACTTCAAGAGGTTTTGTCTTCACTGCCTGGAAAACTTTTTTATTTAAACTTGCAGTTAAAAGTAGTGAGGGGAGGTGAGATGATTTCCATAAAGGACAGGAAAAATGAAGTGACCCTTTCTGACCTTGTCTTCATCCAGATGTGTGTACCCAGACAGAGAAGATGAGAGCAGCATCCAGACTGTCCACCACAGTTTAAAAATGGATATAAGTGGGATTCAAATACAAAGGTGCAAAAGCTACTAAAGTACCTAAAATTCAGGAGTTTTGATCCTAGAGTTTCTAAGAAACTTGCTATTGTCTCCATTTTCTATTGCAAAATTCCTAAGGCTGCTTAGTAGAGGCTTAGAACCCTGGCATGTGCTTGCCTGAGGCAAGCTCCTGCTGATGTTCCTGATGAAGGGAAGTCTATCAGACCACTCCTAACACAAGCAGACACACAGTTCAACCCAGAAGCTCAGCACAATAGTTGGTGTTGGCATATCTGCCTGCCATTGAATAGCTCCGTGATTAGATCATTCAGCCAGGGAGTGGAAGACCTTGGTTGCTGGTCCTTAGGAGCCTGGACTGAGTCAAGCTCTGTTTTTCCAGAAAATGATGCAGCTGGGATAGGGTCATTCTAGGTGTTTCCTAATGAAACTGGATAAAGAGAAATGCAGACCAGAGACGAGAATGAACACAAACAAGAGAGAACTTGACTGCAGCCCAAGAAGAAAGGGTGCAGGACTCTGGTCTTGCTTCTGCAAGATTCTAAAATCTGCAAGTATCTCTCCATTGCCAAATACACGAGTAAGCACCTGACCAAGGGACTATGAATCTGGTATTTCTGCTAGACATCTGCACCACAGTCAGACAAGGCAAACAAATCAAGTGTTTTGCAAGCAGAAACCAGTTAATGTAGATAACTAACTCATGCTCAGCATATATACTCATTCATGCATTCACTGCAGCTGAAAAATGCAAAATTATTTTCAAATTTCACTGTATTCTAAACCATGGAAATGCAGAAAAATTTGCCCAAAAAGCAGCAGAAATATCTTAACCAGGCCTACCCAAGGAACACAGAGAAGCAGAAGAGAAGCAAGAGAACAAGGTTCAAGGTGAAAAATTTAGATGATTGCATTCTCCATCTAATAATCAAACAGGACTGAACCTTGCTGGCTTTAACACAAGCTTTGTCCATACAAAGAAATAAAATCCACAGGAATCCACAATGGTGAATTTTCAGTGCATGAAACAGGAGCACTCTACAGATCACACAATGGCACTGAATATACAAATATTCATATATTTAAATGATACGCTTAAAACCAAAATATTAAAGGAAAGCTGCCTCACCTCACCACGATAGTTTGCTGCATTTAGGGTCACAAATTCTTCATTGTAGTTCTCAGAGAAGTTAAGAGCATTCACCAGATGAGCAGCAACATGTAAGACTAAAAAAAACCAAAAAACTGAGTAAATTTGTAAACAAGTGCTGGATGTTCCCTGTGGCCACTCAGATGCCAAGATATAATGACATCACCTGCATGAGATATACCAGGGACTAAGGAATTCTTAATTATTCTTCAAGAGTAAATCAGCTTATAAATATTAATGACAGAAGGCTGTACATATTTTAGGATTATTTTTTTTAACATTACAGCGATGTTTTCTGTACTGCATTGCTTCAGCTGAGACACAACATTCAAAGGTGTCCAGCCAAGAATATTTCCTCTTCACCAAATTGGGTAGCTGTCTCCACTGCTCCTTCCTCTGCAGGTAAGCCCCACTGCAGGTAATCAGTACCCTGATTTTTCACTCAAATTCCTTAGGCACAATGAGGGTTCACTTGTAAGGGCAGATTTTGACCTGATCTCACATACCTGTCTTCTAAGAAACTGGCATTTTAAGAAAAAGCTTGACATTAGAACATGTGCCCATGTGTTTAAAGCAAAAAATGAACCAAAACCCACACACATTCAAGAAAGCATTTAAGACGAGCAAGCACAGAGCAAGACTACCCCCAAATGTACTGCAGCAGAAAAACCACGAAGTGCTGCATCAACATGCTTCCAAAACATGCTGCTACTCAGCACAGTAAGATCTCACCTGAAAAGATGCATATTGTAACACCACACGTCACATGGAAAGTTTTGCTTTTATCTAGCAGCCTTCTGGTTTTCTTGCTGGCAACCTAGTAAGAGAAGAATTCAAGCAATCTCTTCCAAAACAAAGCAAAGAAAAAAATACTAACAGCAACTGTGGTGATATAATAGCAACTTCAGTTAGGTTTAGCACCTTTGCAAGCTTAGTATCTAAATTTAAAAACTACTGGATTATGCCGAGGAAACAATTTTGAGGACTTAATGGAGAAATTACACAGATATCAAGAGTACATAATGTACCTCCTGGCCATAATGTTTAGGAATTCCAGCAATACTTGAGAAGGCATCACTGACTCTTTTATATCAAGATCAAAAGGAATGGTGTATTTGCATCCATACGTGCATCTACAGGCATCAAATGTTACAGGTATTACCACATGATTAACAGAAGTCACAGGCTCAGTTTGCAACCATCTAGCAAACACAAATGTTCCTCAAAGGCATTATTTATATTTCTGTAAAAGCAACTAGCGAATCACAAAGAAACTAAACATTGTTTCTCCCATGATAACAAATGTATCAGGTTGGGTATTTTTATAGACCATTCTATCACCTCCAGTAGGATACTTGTGGTCTTGCAGACACAAAGTTGGGTTTACCCTGTTGAATTCTATCAGGAAGCACTTGAGAGGACATATATATCTCTAATATAAGAGTTTGGAAAGACAGGGGAGAATTCATCTAGTTACAGCTCCACAGCAACTCCCCAACCTTCAAAAATGCACTGAAGAAACCACCCTCCAAACAGGTCAAATCAAACCAGACAAAGCCTGTCTTCAAAGGCGTCATGAACCTAGGCTAAAGTCTGATACTTGCACTATGCAAGCACATAGTGTAGAACAAACAGGGATGTAACAGATTCTTTTTCTATTGTTTTTATACCAAACAGAGACCAGGGCCCTCTTCTCAAGCGCTGCATTCCGAGGATAGCACTCACCTTCTGGGATCCCCGCAGGAAGGCCAAGAGAACACGGCACATCGGGAGCAGGACCAGGCAGCAGTTGAGATTGAGGACAGACGCCGAAGCTCTGCTAACACACAATCCTAGCTGAACAAACATTGCAAGAGTTAGACTATGGGGAGAAAGGAATGGTATGTGCGTCAGTATGTTCTCTCTCTTGCTCTGCCGTGAAACCAAGTGGTTCCCATGCCCTCTGACTCATCAGAATAGTGGAGTTTCGTGATGTGCTGGGGAAACCAAGGCACACAGCATGCTATCCTGTCCTCAAGGGGAAGGAAACAGCTCTCATCTTTGCATCAAGAAATTATTAAAAATTAACTTTGTCAACAATAAATGACAACTTTCTACCGGAAGAGCCAATATCCTCATCAGGGCCCAAAGTCACGTGGAATAAAATATCTGAGGCAACAGTAAGTGTTCACTGAGAAATTACCTGAAATATAATTAAATAAAAAAGAGCGATAAATACTATGATGACACTACACAGTCACTCGAGTATAACGATTTTCCGTTAAGCCACAAAAAGATGTGAAAAAACATTGATTCAGTCAAACTGAAATGGTCATAATGTTTCAAGGACTGTTATTGCCCCAAAACTCCTCATCCATTCACATTATGCAATGCCATATTTGGACTTAAAGAAAGTAGGTTTTCTTCAGTTAACCTCCTCAATAGCTGGGAACTGTAATGAAATCTAATTTCACTAATGCTTTCACTGATATATTTGGAACTTACATAATTAGAACAAAAACACTTGTCAAATAAATTAACAAAGCACACATTCATGTCATAAACCTGTATTTTTAATCTTATTATATTATCTCATTCATTTATGATTTTAAAAACTTAGCAAAATCCCATTGTTCTCCTAGTTATTAGGTTGAATTACCATTTTACTAGCTTATATAAAAGATGGTTTTAGACTGTCAATAGATTTCTGGAAGACTATTTCTTATACTGTTCCCAAAACCTCAAGTATTTCAACTCCTGAATAAATTAGTAAAAATAAATTATAATATTAAAGATAACTCAAATGCTGCAGGAGCATGTGAATTAATTGAACAGGTACAAATTATCTAATAAAAATTACTTAAGGTTTATTACCTTTTCAAAACTAAACTCTAAGTAAAAAAAATGAGCATGTTTTACTTTCTCCAAAAAAAAAAATTAATCTGTGCAACATCTATAATATTCTTATCTTTGTTACCAAGAAGAAACAAAATTTACAGACTTATGTTTGTGTCACAGAAATGGATGAATATATAAGCTAGTAAAAACAAACAGTATAACACCATTTCAGAATATGTCACAAGATCTCAAGCACAATGGCATGAAAGGTTTCTAAATACCAGTACCATAATGCATTACAACTTCCTGCTCTCCCAGTGAGCAGCATCCATGTACCTCACTCGCTCTGCAGCACACCTGGGCACAGCACCAGGAGGCAAGCAGAAGGTAAAGATATTCAATCTACCTGAAGAACCAAGCTCTGCACCTAAATCCCTCTTCTCTTCCAGCTACTTTACATTATTTAGTCAGGCCTGAGTGCTAAGGACCTCCACACCAGACCCTCCCAGCTTCCACAGAACAGAGCACACATAAGGGCACCCTCTCTCAAAAGCTGCCCATGAGAAGTAGGAGCAATTGCCCCACAAAATGTGCTCTACCTTGTTCTCTACCACGTAAATGTGGGATCTCCAGCAAAAAAATCCCAGGAACAGATCATCTCCAACCTACTGAATGACAGAAAATAAGACTAAAATGAGCCATGTCACTTAGTTCTTTCCCACTCTCCAGATGTCTTCCATTATTTCTTCCAACGTACTGTTAGTCCTCTTTTTCCTTACATAAAACCTCCCTTGCTTCTATTTCATCTGTTGCTTCACTCTCTGAGCACTTGCACAATGAAAATTTTTTTCTTGCTCCTTCCTCATAACCCATGTTCTTCAGACCTTAGGCCATCATCTCCCCCCAACTCTGGACACTCCCAACTGGAAATGACCCTTGAACAGACTGGACTTAATGAAAAGAAAAATGTCTCTATAATGCACTGTTTGCATATACAGCACTGTCTCTATTTTCATTAAATCCTCTAAAGAGAAGCTAAAAATGAGCTATACACCTCGTTGAAGCAGTAACTTCAGAAACATGGTCATTAAAATATAAAAGAATTTTTATTGGTGCTACAGTATTGCAGTGATTAAATGGGCATGACTTGAAAAACTCAATAATTATGTAGGAATAATGGTATGCAAACTCCAGGAGCAAACTTAATCTTGTAGCTGTTGGTTAATACCCAAAATCTGAAAACGTTGCAATACCATTAATGAGCAGTTTGAAAATTTTAATAACTTCTGTTGTATGACCTATGTCATACATCACTACTTTCTCAAGAATTTATGTTGTCTTTGAGTTTAAATATAAACTAGGCATGACGTCAATTATCCAAGACTTCCTTTACCAAGCACAACAATTTTTCTTACAAAGCTTCCACAAAAACAATAGTTTGGTCTAGAAGAGAATCAATTCTACACTGAATAGTGTTAAATAAATGAAATAACTCCTGTTGGAGTTCAAGAAGCATTTGGACAGCACTCTCAGGCACATGGTGTGATTCTTGGGATGCCCTGCTCAGGGCCTGGAGTTGGACTCATGAGTCCCTTCCCACAGCAGTCTGTGATTATAAGTAAAATGCCAAACAATTTAACAAGTATGAATCACAAACGACATGCAGAAAAGGCAATCTGACTAATCTTCCTTTGTTTTTCTCCACTATTTAACAAATAGCAAATATTCATTCATAATGCAATCACTATGGAAGAATGTCCTTACATTCACTATAATTCAATGCTATCATCACCAGTACATACAAGAAAAAAAAAGAAAAAAAGAGACCAGCAAACAACTACTTACAGCTTTTCAAGGAAGTATGATTCAAACATTAAAATATTGTTACCAATGGTTCATGTAAGGTTTTATTCTGAAGAAATAAAGTTCAGCAATATTTCCTGCAACAAGCCCATGACTGATTTGTAAACAATGGGAAACACATTTAGAAATTCTTAAAATCAAAATTCAGGCAAGAAGAAAAGAGTTTAAGTTTGCTCTTGATATACAGCCAAAAGCTAAAAATACTACCATGAAACTAATTCTTTCCAAATGGTTTCCAAGAGATCTTTTTCTTAACTTCCTTTGCATTGCCTGGGAGGCATAGTAACAAATTAACACAGTACATTGTTAGATTTTTAAACAATAGTAGAATAAAGGATGATTTTTGCTCCAAGGCAACTCACTGGGTCTAGAAGGGAATATATACCCTTATTAAGTAGTTAAGAAATAAGAAAAATATAATCCTATTTTCTTCCTGAAGTTTTTCCTGTCTTAAAAAAAATGTTATTGCATGTTACTAGCATGTGAAATTTCTGCAGAATCAAAAAGGAAAAAAAAAACCACACAAACAAAATCTCTGCTGGACACTTTTATCCAGCTTTGCTGATACTAAATCCAAGCATTTGACCGCCTCCTTCCTTAATCTGCCTATCTGGTACAACATATACTGGTATCTGATTTCACGGAGCAGAAAAGAAACATACTCAAATTTACAGACTAAATCTGTGGCAAAAATAGTAGGGAACTGGACCATCCACAAACTCAAATCCTAAAAACTAGGTTAGATTTTTCTTCCAGACAAGTATAAAGGAATTGCCACCTTCTCCAAAGCAGCATAAAAGAGCTCCAGAATGCAAATTCTCCAGTTATCCCTGTCTGATGTAAAGTCCACAGAAATCCAGATGGACTCCTGGCTGTGCTCATACAACACACAAAGTAGGACAGAGAAATCAAGAGTCAGTTCTTGTTGTATCTTCCTGCCAGCAAGACTGAAAATGAGAAAATGAGCTTCCTCTGCTAGGAAAAGGAGCTTTCTCTGTTAGGCACATGATTTCAGTATTAGATTGAGAGCTGAATTACCTTACTGTGTAACCCAGAATTCCCCAAATTCAAAATTTATAAACACAGAGATGATTGTTACCTGCAATGGCTGTGCACAGAAATCTGATATTTTATACATGACTGCAAAATGAAGATTACAACAAATACTGACTGTCCTATCTCCCCTTTTAAGTCAATCTTGTATCAAAAAAATGTTAGAATAATGCAAACCCTTCCACACCTGACAGTGATGTGATTCTGTTTCTCAAGACTTCACCACCTACAGGCAACAACCCTAAACAGGTCATGGTGTCATAGAGACACCACACTTGATGCTGTCTCTTAGAGCCTTTCTTTAAAATTTTTCAATCTTCTTTGGTTCAGGGCACCTTGAAAGGCTCTGGCAAGACTCACAAGCCAGATGCTGCTCTGTAGACACAGGTCACAGACCACCTCCCCAGATCAGTACTAGAGCAGCTAAAGCTGGTTATTTTTCTAGATGGAACAAACTGTGCTACACAACATGCCTTCTTTTGAACCAGCTTCCTTTTCTTCATAGATTATTCCTTCTCTTGAGTAACAGAGCACCGATAACCTAAGATGGAGGACAGAACTGAACTGTATGCACAGCAATTATTCCCCTTAGGCCTGTCAAATCTGGCTGGATTTGACACCAAGCAGCTGAAAGAAGGAAAATGTGAGGGCAGGGGAAACCTAGCAGAACATGTGAAAACTTCTATGAAAGTTTGACTTGGTTTTGCTCCTGAAGAAGGAAGGTTTCAAAGAAGGACTCTGTAAATCCCAGTTTCATGTACTGCAACCCTTTAAAAATTAAGTGATGCAATATCTTTTAATATGTATGGGGTATCTTCCCTGTGCTGCTGCGAATCAGTATCCTCCCTGTTCACTTGTAACTCATCACACAGGCATTCTTTGAAGGTTTTCCATCTCTTCTTTTCTACAAGTTTAGGTCATGTTCCCATTTTACATGCAGTGCCTTTGTGTAGGATGCACTCCTTCTTCTGCTTAAATCAGTCATTCAAACTCAAGAAAAAAACTAACTCAATCTTGAGTGCAGTAAGAGCTTCCAACTTGTCTGATAATCTCCAAGCAAGGGATCAAGATATACAACTCCCCCCAGTGCTAAGATGTGGGGGGTAAGCAGGTTCCAGTGTGGTTGCATAACAACCAATGAAAGTGGAATTTCGTCTCAATTAGTGAAATCTGTCGTTATGATAAACTAGCAAGGAGAGACATAAAAGTTACTGGAACATTTCCAAGCAGTGAATAAAGGTGACAAATGTTATGCACAATTCTGCACAATAAAAAGGCAGGAACTGTATAGATAAAAAAGCGAGGCAGCACTTTTTATTTTCAGCCCCATTTTCAGTTATTCAGTGTTTTCCCCAAGAGATCCTTCTGACAATGCATTTTCTTCACTTTGGTCTGAAACCCAGAAGCTTATCTCTTGCATTAACATTTGACTACATTACAGCTATTTGAGCAGGGACAAGAGAGGGAGTGGGGAAAGAGAGACCCTTCATGCCATGACAAAATGGGCTCAAAGCTCTTTCTGCTCACAGGGAACTCAAGCAACAATAAACAAGCATTTCATTCAATGCTGTTAAAGAAAGACTTGAGTTCTATAAGGCCAGTACCAAATTTATGGCTGATTTTTTTTTTGACCAGGCACAATCAAACTTGCAGGACAAAAATACAGCCAAGCTAGACTGAAGAGAGAAATCCTGAAGTCTGTGAAGAAACCAGTCTGGACAGTTTCACTGACTGAGTGGACCAAAATCTCCAACAACAAAGATTTTGGAGTCAAATGATTTAAGACTCTCCCTTTCTGTAACTCATGCCTACTACACATTATAGCACCTATCATGAACATAAAGATGAAAATATTCCCTTCCTGTTTGCCAAACTCTTTTATAAGAAATTCACGTCTGTTGGGGATTTGTTCACGAGCTTCTCTTCCTTAAGCAATGTAAGACCACAAGTTAACACCGATGAAATCATAAAAAAAATATGTTCTTTATCTGAATTGTGGTTTGGAACCAGTGTGAATGAATGCACTCATACATTAAGACTATGACCTGCAGTGTTACAAGTATCCAAAGGTAACGGTTCATTAAAGCAAAAGTACTGGAAAGGGATTTACATCCACTAGGTTCTGGTGAACTTTCACTGCAAGTATTATGTAACCACAGAATTATTCTGGTTGGAAGGGACCTCAGGATGTCTCTGCTCAAACCCCTTGTTCTAAGCATGTTCAACACCAAACTCAGATTAAGTTTGCCCAGGGTTTTTTGCCCAATTAGGTTTTGAAAACTCCCAGGGATAAAGACTGCACAGTGAAGAGTTCATGGTCTCATCAACAGAAGTCAAACTGTGCAAAGCAGAGATGTTTCACACAAAATAACACTAAGTTTACTGGTACATAAAAGATTGATCAACCTCCTCCTACCACATTACTGCCTTCTACTTTTCTGTTCTCTTGGCACTTCCAAGACACCACCATGCTCTTAGTGCCTTTTCACAGGCGTAGAATTAAGGATCAGGAAGATTGTCATTGAAGGCTGAGTGAGAGTTAGGTACCTAAACAAATTTTAAATCCCGTCCTAAAGTATCTTGTTCAACATCACAGAGAATGCAATTGGAAAAGAATAAATCTGAGCCTCACTCTTCTGTAGACAGCTGAAGGGAAGTAAATCACTTCAGTACCACTGAACAAAAGACCAACCCCATTCTTTCTCTTTCATCACATCAGAACGAGATGGCATAAAAACATAGCACAATTGAATATACTCAGAATATTCAGTCCAAGATCTCACTTTGTATAATACTGATTTCCTCCAGCAACTTTTCTTGTTCTCCAATCTGTGACTTGGTAAACAACAAAATTACCTGTGGTAAATCTTTCCATGCTGCAAGCACAGAAGTTCTTAAGGCAATAATAGCTTATTGTAGCATAAGAAAGAAAAAAAGGCAACTCCTTAGAAGACTTCACTGAAAAAATCAGAAACGTTTTTTTACTTCAAAAAGTGCCACTCCTTTTGGGCAACTTTGTTAGCTTTCTGGAAAAAGGAATCAGTTGTCACAGAAGTATCCCTTAAAGAGTTCAATCTGTTAATACAAAAAATACCAACTGTTGAATTATAAATGAAGAATTTAATCTAAATCTCAGAATCTTCAGACACCAAGAAATGGCACAGAGGCTCTGCAAACCACTCACACATGCATAGAACAGAGAGGAGACTGGTTATGCAGATGGGCTATGGGTCAGAGGTTATACAAACCAATAGAGAAAAAGAAGAGGGGCAAAAATCCCTCTGAAGGCAACTGCAGCTGTAGTATCGCTTATGCCATCTCCTGAAGAAACCAAATTGGCTTCAGTTTTCCCAGCCCTTGCAAAATAACCTCTGTGATTAATACACATACCCAGATATAATGAAGAGAAGAGAGAAAGCTAACTTTGGGATCTACTGAAGATATTTAGATGAACTGTAAAAAAGTGAATTGCAAGTACATTTTCCAGTCTTTAGTATTTTCAAAATGTTAAAATTAGTTTTATAACTTTGACCAAAAGTGTCTTTTAGACTTAAATCTTGATTTTTGACCTTATTTTAGAAGTCTCCAAATTCTTTGGTACTTTTTCCACAATGACAGACACAATTATACAAACTTAAAAGCATGACCTCCTTGTCCTCATCTCCTGACCAAGACAAGGAATCTTTTGCCTGAGTCATCTCACAGGTTCTGAACACACATTAAGTTACTTTGCAAGTGTTGTCCATTTTGAAGTAAAAGAAAACCAAAAAAAATCTCAACCAGATGATGAGCTGGTATGAGGCATATGAGTAATCTGAATTGAGAGAAACTTGCTGATTGATGCCAGCTGAAAATCTGGTCCAACACATTACCCCAGAACACTGGCTTTACAAACAACCCATTTGCTCCGCCAGGAACAAATGCAATATTCAAATGGATACTGGGCTGCAAAGCCACTAGAAATCAAGGTAAAATTAAACACATTTGCATGCTTTTTCTGTCAGGAAGGTCACCACCATGAAGGATTTAATTATTGTCATTCCCTTCTTTTTTGCACTATCTTTGCTAAGATTCATTCTTGAACACATCTGAATCAACCATAAGAAGGAAAAAAAAAAAAAGAAGAAAATTGTACCAACTCAACTTATTTCCAAGCAAGATTACAAAACTTTACGGTACTGGCTAGTTATGACAATATCAGCCACATGAAACTATATACCCTGGATTTACCAAAAATAAACCCCAAAGGCTCTACAGCGGATTAGGATGTGCATCATCTATGTTTAATCCCATGTCAACTTTCCATTGAAATCCATTCCTGAGTATGACATACTCATCATGTTATTCAGACACTTTTTCCCGGATTGTCAAATTCTGAGCAACCCATGGGCATTTTCCAGGAAGACGTGAACTCTTACTACATACCTTTTTAGACATAAGGGTTTTTTTTGAAATTACTATTATGGGTAATTTCCCAAGGCAGGCTTGTATCTCACATCTCCAAAGTATCTTTTTGGGTTCATCTGCTGGTGGTGGGTGTTGCCCTTGCTAAACCAAAACATCTGAGTCGTCATTAAATCACCCAGAATCAAAAAAATTACTATTAGAAAACAAAACTAAAGTCGCATGCATTACAGTGAATTGACACAGAACAGAGGATCCATGAAAATGACAAAGACTGAAAAGAACAAAGACTTATTAAAAGAAGTCCCTCAGCAAGCATGTATATTACAATAACTGGATTGGAAAGAATATGCCAACAAGAGTCCACAGCTTGCTAAATGTGCTGATGATGAAAAGTGGAGCTCCAGTCATTTGTTGAGCATGCCTGTGCTCCTGTGAGCCTGCTGCTCCTGGGAACACTGGGAGGGTAAAGAGGGAAAGGAATAGTTGTCCCACACTTGACTGGCTCTTTTTCTTCTCAACAGTGTTCACTTTCTACTCCTAAACGACTGTCAGAAAGATCCCAGTAAATTCGTACCTGATCTTTCCCCACTTTGAAAAGTTAGCAGGTAGTTTGTGTCATCTTTGATTAGCAAATGCATTCTGCCACTTATCCCATCCTCGAGCACCCCAATTTCCAGGGCAAAAAGTAATGTCCAGGTCACTCACCCCTAACATCTGATGCAAATAATAATACTGTAGCCCTTGATTATAAAGCAGGAAGGTTTTCCCGAAGAGCCATACATTGAGGGAGAGCCAGAAAAACTGAAATGAAACAGAAACAAGAGACTGTAAGTGGAAGTTACATGTGCAAACTTTTCAGTGTTCATTTCATTCATAAAACTCATAGGTCTGTAGTTTCATAAACATATGTAAATGGAATGGAAAAGCAAACTTCATGCACACAGTATGCTTTAAAGTATTAAAAGAAAGTGCCCCTATGCGGGAAAATTTCACTTTCATTGAACTTCACAAAACTTTTTGTGCCTTACGACAACCGAGAGCTGGCAAAGCACTCCCATACAAGAGCCTATCGCAAATCTTTAGCTGGATGTTGCACTTAAGAGACTCAAAGAATAAAAAAAAACAACAACAAAGAGACAAAGGAAGGTAAAGAATTTGACCTCCAAGAAGCTGCATCTTCTCCCCCAAACTTTCCCAAACAGAGCCTAACAAAGAGCAAGCACTCGCACAGCGTGTGCGAGCCGGGCAGGGCACGGAGGCGGGCACTGTCCCGAGCCATGGCACCGGCGTGCATCCATCCTTGCCAGCCGCGCACCGGGACGCGCACGGAGCACATCCCGCCCACACGCCCGAGCCGCGGCACCCGCATGCCGGGATCCCTGCCCCGCACGGCGGGACCCCTGCCCCTCGCGGCGGGACGAGCCGCCCCGGTTCCCCGACCCCCGGGGCCTGCCAGCACCCACCGGCCCCTCCTGAGCCTCCTCCGCGGGTCAGCCCCGCCGAGGGGACCCCCCGGGGCCGCCCCTACCAGGAAGAGGTGCTTGCTCCCCTCGTTGGCCAGCCAGCTCCTCCAGGACAGCGCCATGGTGCGGGACGCCCGCGGGGCAGGACGGAGGGCGGGGGGGCGCCGGGCGAGCCCTCCTTTTCAGCCGGGCCGAGCCGCCCTCCCCTCTCCCCACCCCTCACCCCCCGCCCTGTCTTCCGGCCGCCGGGGCGTAGCGCTCCGGCCCCGCCGCGCCGCCGTCCAGCCCCCGGCTCCGTGCCGCCGGCGCTGCCCCTTTGTCCGCGGCCCAGCGCCCCGGGACCCGCAGCGCGAACGCCCGGACGGAGCGGGGCTCTCCGGAGGGCAGCCTGCCCTGCCCTACCCCGCCCGGCGCTGCGGCCGCTTCCTCGCGTCCCCCACCTTGGGAAGAGCGTTTCCCAGCAGAGAGTCCCATCCGTGGGGATCCCACTTGCCCGACCCCCCCCATCCCCGCCCGGGCTGAAATGTGATACAGAAAGCAGGAGGGAGCGGGGGAGCAGCCGTGCATGAAGCTGCTCTGCCGTTCGCGTGGAACAAAGAGGCTGTCCAAGAAACTACTGTTCGGGCAGCACGTGAGGCCCTCGAAAGCCGGGAAGGAACAGGCTGTGTTATTGATTTGAAGTGTGATCCTGCTCCATCAGGTGTCCCTGGAGGACACTGGAAGAGGCCACTCCTGTGTGCTGGCACAGCAGGTGTGCAGTGGCAGCCAAGAAAAAGGGACTATGGGCAATTCCACATCCAATGTCCAAGAAAAAGTGCCTATGGGCAATTCCACATCCAGTGTCCAGAGTCTGGGTTGCAGCACTTTGCCGGCAGTCTGCTTTTACTGGGGACCTTCGTGTTTAGTTGGGGAGGGAAGGGTTTGAGGGAAAGTTGCACCAGATGCTGATTTTTATATTAAGAAAAAGCTTTTGAAAAAAGTACTTGTTGCTGGCAGCTTGCAAACAGGAGAGCCTTGAGAGTCAGAGGAACAGTGCCACCTGGCATTGTGGTGCTCATGTTGCTCCTTGGGATAGCAGCAGCAGTGGCAGCTGACAGCAGAGTAAGGCTGGTTTTCTGGGAGATGCCAAATCCGAGGAGCAGTGCTGAGTAGTCTCATCCAGTCCAGTTTGAGCTGGCTGTCCTTCTCTTGTTATCTGGAAAGTTGCCATTTTTCGAGTTCTTTATGAGCCACACACCAAGGATCCAGAGAAGACTGGAAGGGGGAAAAGTGCTGTCTTTCTACATTTTGTATCAAGGTGGAGGGAATATCTGACCCATGTGTGGTCCTGGAAATAAAGAGTACAAGTAGGCCATGGCATCTTTGAAACTCAGTTGAGGGTATTTTTGCTGCAGCAGGAACTCTGTCTCAACAAGTGGCAGGATTTCTGTGGCTGTATGAAGTTTTAGGTGAAGTTTAGGTGAAGCAGAATTACATCCATTTGAATCACACTAAAAGGAGAACTAGTGAAAGAGAAAAAATATATTTTGAATTTAAGACTCAACAGAACCATAGTTTGATGCCAAAGGAGCCCTAACAGCAGAAGAAATAGTACAGTTTATTTATCTTGTTTGCTATTTCCATTCACTTCCTTGCTTCTGTTGTAATGCTAAGGAAAATGGAAACTGCTCACAGAGAAACGGATGATGAATCTTCTCTGGACAAGCATGTCAAAGATGGAATGGCACAAAATCAAACTTGAAGGATACGTCAGGCCTAATATCATGGGGCCTTGGCCGAAACAGAAGCCGAGGAGACAAAAACAAAACAAAAATAATTTGCCCATGCTATATTTGCACTTTAGAAATGGCTCTGAAAAATCAGCTTATGCAGGATCTGACTGCCCACTCACTTGAAGCTGATGACTCATGAGCCAGCACTTCACTGCCTACTAACAAAGTGCCATAAGGCATGTGGAGCACATGACTCATGCTCATCCACACTGGATCCTACATCATATCTAGGTACAGAGCAAGGAATGTGTTTTTGTAGAAAACACCCCTATTTTCCTTCTCCCTGGAAACAGCCAAGGGCTTTGAATCGTTAGCCCAAAAAGAGTCTGGCAAAGACCAGTGCCACGCTAATACATCTACATTCTTCCTCCACAGAAAAGGCTGAGTTCTTTTTCACTTTTAAACCATCCCAGATGTATACTTGCCCGACTTTCAAACTTAAGAGCATTTTAAACTTAAGAGCACTCAGAAATGACCATAGACACTTGTTATAATCCAAATAATTAGAAAAGTTATGCTATGACTCTCAAACCTTGTGAGCTCATCTCTGCTTTGTGGGCATTCATCCTCTGATTATGATGGCCTTAGTGCTTTGTCCCACCAACTGGACAGAGCAGTGCAAGGTAGGCAGCCCTCTGTGTTGGGTTTGCATGGCCAGGTGTTGGTAGGGAGGGGGCCTACAGGGGTGTCTTCTGTGAGAAGCTGCTGGAAGCTTCCTTCATGTCCAGCAGAGCCGATCTCAAGAGGCTACAAGACAGATGTGCCGCTGGCCAAGGTTGGGCCAATCAGAAATGGAGGTAATGACTCTGTGATAACATATTGAAGAAGAAGAAAAAAAAGTTGTTGTGCAGATGTAATTGGGGCCAGAGAAGAGCAGGGTGAGAATATGTGAGAGGAGCAGTGCTGCAGACCCCAAGGTCAGTGCTGAAGGAGGGGCAGGAGGTGCTCCAGGCACTGGAGCTGGGATTCCCCCGCAGCCCCTGGTGCAGACCACGGTGAGGCAGCTGTGCCCCTGCAGCCCATGGAGGTCCGAAGGGGTGGAGAGATCCACTGCAGCCTATGGAGGAGACCCGTGCTGTAGCAGGTGGATGCTGGAGAGGAAGCTGTGAACCCATGGAAGACCTGTGATGGACCAGGCTCCTGGCAGGGAGGCATACCCATGGAGAGAGGAGCACATTCTGGAGCAGGTTTCCTGGTAGGGCTTGTGACTTCATGGGGGACCCATGCTGGAGCAGCCAGTCCTCGAAGGAGTGCATGACATGGAAGAGTGACCCACATTGTAGCAGTTTGTGGAGAACTGCACATGGGATGGCTGCTTCTCACTGGAAAAGTTCATGGAGAACTGTCTGCGATGGGAGGGACCCCATGCTGGAGCAGGTGAAGGATTCCTCTACCGAAGCAGAGACATAATTACCATAACCCCCTTTCCCCATCTCCCTGCACCACTAGAGATAGAGCTGGGGAGGAGGGAGGGATGAGGGGAAGGTGTTTTAAAAATCTTGGTTTACTTTTCATTATCCTGCTCTGATTTTGTTAGAAATAAATTTATTGAACGACCCCTATTCCAGTCTGTTTTGCCTGTGGCAGTATTTGGTGGGTGATCTCTCTGAGTCCTTATCTTTACCCATGAACCCTTTGTTTTATTTTCTCTGAGTGACAGACAGGCTTTGATGGGTGCCTGGGATCCAGCCAAAGAAAACCCGCTACACCATCCTAGAGACTGAAGATACAGTATCTCTGATAATGTTTCTTCTACTGTATCAGCAAAGTGAACTTCCAGGCCTACTTCCCATCAACATCCTCTACACTGAAATCTACTCTCCTGAAGTGTATTTGGGTACTTTACAGCTAACACTTTGCTGAATGTTGTAGTCAATGTTACAGACGTGGCTTATAGTTTTCTTGTGCTGGAATTCTGCTTGTGCAGCTGAAAGTGATCCAGAGTCAAATCACCTAAACTCCCAGGTGTCTCCATCTGTCAGCATGCCATGACCGTCCTGCAAGTGCCCACAGTGATGGCATATATTGTTATGAGCACAACACTGTCCTTCCAGTCTGGGGGGCGATCCAGGCACCTCATCTTCTGCTCTGTTGTAGTCTGGATTTAGGCAGACAGGCCCTTAAATTCGACATGCATCCCTAAGGGGTTTGTCCCCTACTCCTTCTCAGAATATTTACCCTTAGCACTGAGAACATGGGAGGAGAAGAAAATGTTGGCACTGACTTCATTATAGAGAACAGGAAAAGTGCAGTTTCTGCATAACAGCTGAGTGATTACAGCATTTGCCCAGTAGTGGGAGAGCTGGATCTTTCTCCAAGAGTTGAAGCCATTGCATTCGCATCCTAGGAAAGTTTTCCAGCCACTGCTTTTCACTGGGGTCAGAGAAGGAAACAATTCCCAAGTGAGCCACTGTGCTGCCAGGAAGGCAACAGAAAGAGGTCAGAGAGAAAATCAGAAAGCAATACTGGCCAAGTGGCAACAGCACACTACGGAAGAAAGAAGATCATGTAGGAAGAGGAGACTTGGGATGCCAGTTCATTTATTGTTTCCATTGGAAGAAAAAATGCAGAACCAATTTCAAAATTCAACATGTTTATGAGAAAACTACAATCAGAAGAGAAGCCAGAAATAGAAAGCTTTTCCCGCAAATGAACTTGTGTTTCTTGGAAACTTTCTCTTTAAACTTAAGCTACATGCTGTTTACCTTTATCATTTTAACTTTAGCTCTAGCATTCAGTCACAACATAAGGGTAAAATAGCAATCAAAGTGTACGTCACTGTGAGGATCTGTGCCATGTGAGTAATATCCTGTGTGATGGCACATGGCCTTTATGGCATTACAAGTTGTATCATTTCTTTCCCTTTTTGAAACTGGATCTTTACATTTGCTGCATACCACAAGATCAGCTTGCCTTCTAGTATGCTCCATGATGGAGTTGGAGGCCTCTCTAGGGTGAAATTCTTCTCCAGGTTTGGGTGGCAGCCAAGTTCATTAATTTCCGTGAAGCTGAAGTGATTCATAGTAATGCATTATTTACTGCTGCAGGAGTGTCTAGGAGTATTAGGCATGGCCCAGGCCCACAATTTACCTTATCAGAAAGGTAACATTTATGCCCAAAGAGTTCCAATGAAAAGTCAGACAGCAACAGATGGAGTTCTGATCCTCAGTTCTTCTGGACATGGCAAAATGGGCAGCAAAGCATGAGTCCTCTGGTAGCATTAGCAGGCTGTGTTCTGCTTCCAGTGAGCTCTCCTAAACCAAGCCATTCAGCTGCTGCTCAGCTCCATTCTACAAACTCAAAAATATGAAGGGAGGTCCTACAGTATTTTGTTCTCAAATAACCTCCTCCACATTCCTGATGCAAAGAAAGATAGCACGAACACTCCAACACACGGCAACATCATTCATCACAAAAGAATGCAAGCAC